AGAGACGGGGTTTCACCATGTTGACCAGGATGGTCTTGATCTCTTGACCTCGTGATCCACCCGCCTTGGCCTCCCAAAGTGCTGGGATTACAGGCTTGAGCCACCGCGCCCGGCCTTATTCAACTATTTTATGTTCTAGAGTTTGTAAAAACCACTGACTCTATATACAGTCGTGGGGATGCCCGTATGAATACGTCATACTTTGGGGTGAGAGAAAAAGTTTGAGATGAACTATTCTATCTTTAAGGTATCTTCCAAATCGAGTAGTTTACAAATCAGTGCACCAAACCCTAAGCACCCAACACGAGTAGCAAAGTACCAACCCAAATGCCACTCTAACCTCCCTGTTAACAGGACTCTGAATGTGTTCAGGCCCTGGGCAGAAATCTGACTTCAGGGATAGTGGGCCCAGGCCTTAGTCCAAGATACACACATAACTCCATTTTGGCCAAACATGTAAGGGGAAGAGGGATGCCTACCAGTGGGCTCTGGAGAAAGATTCTTCCTTCCTGATAAAAGGGGAAGAGGTACAGAAAAGAACCATCTATCTTTCACTGCCCTGAATATGGATATGGATGCATGAAAACAAGATGCTTGGAGCTATAGCAGCCTCTTTGCAACCATGAGGGGAAGAACAAGAAAATCAGATATACGACCTACTGCCCTGATAGCATGGACCTGCCAACTTCCCAACTCATGTGAGATAATTAAATGTCCTCAAGGTTCAAGTCTCTGTCAGACAACCTCTATTACTTACAGCTAAAAGTATCCCTAACTCATCTAGTGGGGAATGCAGAGATAAATATGACCTGATCCTTCCACTCAAGGGGCTTTACTGTTCAGCAGGGAAGATGAACATGTAAACAATGAGGTATGTGATTTAGGTGCTCAGGAGTTCCATCCTGAGAGTGGCAAGCATAGCTGGAGTCACCAGATTGCACATCTGCGTTTCCAAACAGTCTGTAGTAGAACACTTGCCCACAGAGGTAGCATCTGGCAAGCTGAGTTAAGCAAGGAGGGGCAAAACAGCAGGCTCACCTGCTGAACCACAGTGCCTCGGAGCTCCTGCAGCACATCCAGCATCTGGAAGATGTCAAATGCATACACCACCTGGATCCTCTGGAGAGCTTCTGCCTGACGGGGTGGAAAAGAGAAGCAAGGGCTTTAGATAAGAGGGTGTAGGGGGTGGAGGTAAGGCTGGGAAGGAAGAGGCACCTGGATGTAAGGACTCAGGTCCAGGGTGGCAAACGAGCATTGTCTAATGGGCCAGTTGTCACAGCGGTAGCTGCCTGAGTGCTGAGCTGTAAAGTACTCAGTGGGAAAGAGGGATACGACCGATTAGCGATGCCTCTCGTGGGCGAGAAATGGACTAGAAACATAAAGCTCGGTGTTTGCCAGCCCTGATTTAGGATATGCAAGGAGTTGGGAGGATTTCCTGGAAGAATCAGTGTGAGCAGCACCCCAAATGGGATGATGGCATCAACAGAGGTGGCTTAAGGAATACGGGATGTATTAATAGAACAGCAAAATTTCAAGGCAAGGAATGACTACTCACCCCCAGTTCTTACAATGTAAGGGATAATGGGGTTTTCTTGTGGTCAGAATCTCAATGGAACCCAGCACGCTGCTCCTTACCTGTTCCTCCTCATCCTGGGTTTTAGCCTGAAGCAGCTGGAGGAGGCGGGAAGCTGTCAGCCCACCACTGGAATCTACGTATAGGACGTTTTGCTGCAGGCTGTGGGCCACATTTGCTGCCACACAAAGACATACCTGGGGGTGGGGGCATTGGATGAACTTGACACTTCAGAGAAGGTCCAGAATGGGAGCTCCCCACCAAACCTTGCCCAGATTCCAGCAACACAAATGGGCCAAGTCCAAGCCCCACTCCTCATCACCCGTCTTCTCTCTGTTGGGCTCTGAACCCATCAGTACACTGAAGCTCCCCCAGGGACCCTGGGCTATACATCCACCACCCCCATCCCCGAATCCTTCTGACTGCTGGCCTCACGTGTACCTGAGTTTTGCCGCTACCTGGGCCTCCTACAATTTCAGTAACTTCTCCAGTATAGAGACCAGCATCAAGCAGTTTGTCCAGGCTTATGGAAAAAGAGAAGAAAATCAACACAGGAGGTTAAGAGGAAGAGAGGGGAAAAGGTACCAAGAAGAAAAGTGAGACATTCCTTTCAAGCACTGGTTGTCTTTGAACATCACTGGCTAGGAGGCTTCTCCTGGTGTTTTCTTCTGAGAAGGAGGGAATACCTAAATGTTCCTTCTCTGATCTCTCTTCATACCTCCACTCTTAAAGATCAACTCTCCAGAGAAACCTTTGCCACCCCATCAGGAGGTCTTCCTTTCATTTTTCATCTCGGGCTCTGTGGGTTTCCTTTTTTTTTTTTTTTTTTAGACAGAGTTTCTCTCTGTTGCCCAGGCTGGAGTCCTGGAGCACAGTGGCACAATCTCCACTCGCTGCAACCTCTGCCTCCCAGGCTCAAGTGATTCTCCTACCTCAACCTCCTGAGTAGCTGGGATTACAGGCACCCGCCACCAAGCCCCGCTAATTTTTTTAAATTAGAGATGGGGTTTCACCATGTTGGTCAGGCTAGTCTTGAACTCCTGACCTCAAGTGATCTGCCCGCATCAGCCTCCCAAAGTGCTGGAATTACAGATGTGAGCCACCACAGCCAGCTGTTTGTGGGTTTCCTTGATAACATTTCCCATAATTTGTTATTTTTTTTTTAAACTTTGATCACATGCCTGTAGTCCCAGCTACTCAGGAGGCTGAGGCAGGAGTGGCTTGAACCCAGGAGGCAGAGGTTGCAGTAAGCCCTGTGGCTTCTTGAGATAATTGTGCTCACCCCATCTCTGTTAAATAAGCATCCAGCCTCTGCCACTCCTGATTCCATTCTTCCCATTGAGATCAAGGGAACCCCAGGGTGGGTCCCCAGTGTGGTCCCCAGACCAGGTGCAGCAGCAACCTTTAGGGACTGGCTAGAAATGCAAATTCTCAGCTCCCCTCCCCAAGACCTACTGAATCAGAAACTCTGGGAATGGAGCCCACACTTGAAACTTGAGTTTCAACAAGGCCTCCAGGTGATTCTGATGCACACTCAGGTTTCAGAATCATTAGACTAGTTAGTCTTAATTCTACCTGCACATTAAAATCAGGGGAGTTTTTTTTTTTTTTTTTTTAATGCCTATATCAGCAGTACCCAAAGTTGTCTGCACATTAGATTCACCTGGGAGCTTCAAAAAAATACTGATGTTGCACTGGGCAAGGTGGCTAACACCTGTAATCCCAGCACTTTGGGAAGCCGAGGCGGGCGAATCATGAGGTCAAAAGTTCAAGACCAACCTGACCAACATGGTGAAATGCCATCTCTACTAAAAAAAAAACACACAAAAAGTAGTCAGGTGTGCTGGCTCGTGCCTATGTTCCAGCTACTCAGGAGGCTGAGGCAGGAGAATCACTTGAACCTGGGAGGTAGAGATTGCAGTGAGCCGAGATCATGCCATGACACTCCAGCCTGGGTGACAGAGCAAG